TACAAAGCCGTTTCTTAATATTAAATGATTCATATTAATTTATATTGTATATAAACAGATCTTATTTTTTATATATTTTTTATATATAAATGAACTGTTAATTATAAATTTCGATAATGGAAATATACGTATTGTCAGTGTAAATAATATTAAATCGTTTATAAATTCCAACACATATTGGCAATAAATTAAAAAATAATATATGCAAAACCCAAAATAATAAATTTAATCCAATTAAACAGTTTTGAATTACAAATAAGAAATTACAAAAAAAAAAAAAGAAGAAATTAAAACTGTCAATCGGGATTTATTTTAATTCCCTGATGGACATGTTTGGATGACGCATACATCGATTGAAATCAAAATATTTGAAGTAAAAATTTATTTCTACTAATTAACAAAAGTAACACATTTGATTTAATTATAATTTGCGTGATTGGAATATTTGTAAAAAAATTTTTTTTTATATTCCGCTTAAATGATTCTGTTTATTTTAGAACAGAATAAACATTAGAAATGTTTATATAGAGCTTTTTTAAAGAAATATTCAGGCATGACGGTACTTTTGTTTGTCAGTTATTATTCTATTCTTTTCTGTTTGACTAAATAATTATTATTATTATGTTGAGGCTAGTTAAGTCAGTGCACCTGAACACTTTTACTCTCTATTAACTGCGAGATTTCTTCATAAGCCCTCTCTAGACCTTGGCTGGGTTATTGTAGATATTTATTTTATTTTATATAAAATGTAAAAATAATAAACTACAAGTAACTATAATTTTTACTCTATATATAAATTGCACTTAAGTCGCTGTATAGCAACACGCACTTCGTTATGGCTAGGTGGTGGAATTTCAACGTCATCATTTTCGATTGGGGACACAGAGAGCATTTCTCCAAAGGCAGAGTTGATGTTATCATCGCCAGATAGTAGTTTGGAGAAGTGTTTCTTTTATACTTTTTGCGCCAGATTACTATTTTCTGATGCACCAGGCTTAAAGCTTTGAGTCAGACGGTTGACTTTTTGATAAAATTTACGGGCATCATTCTTGTTTCTACACATCTCGATTTCCTCTCGCTCGCGCCTTTCTTGATCTCGTTTCTTTCATCTTAATAGGCGCCTCTCTACCTTCCTCATCTCCCGATATTGTTCATACACGGTTCGTGTTGCTACTGACTGCAGGGTCCTTTTATAGGCCGCAGCAGTAGTTTGGCGATACTCCTCGTCTTATCATTGATTTCGCCATGGGAGACGTTGGAGTGATACAGTGCGTAGGGAGTGATACAGTGTCCCCATTGTATCGGGACGGGAGGGTTGGTTGTTTAATGGTTTTTAACTAAGCTAAGAATAAATCAAGGGAAATTACACCAAAAGTGTCCAATATAACTTTGCAAAATATATTACCCAAAAGGAAAATAGTCGAAATTTGACATATTTGACTCATGAAACAAAATCTAAATATTAAAAAGAGGTACGAACTTTTCAAAACGTTTTATTATTAAAAAATTTTTTATTAATAAATTTTTTATTAATAAATTTTTTATTAATAAATAAACACAACATTGTTGACGTTTTCCGCGTTTTCCATGATCAATTATTTAGTTTTTGTTAACAATATTAAACTAAATATTATTTGTTTGTAATTGAGATATAAACAAACAGAAACCCTCCTAGATCGTTCACAGCACTTTCTGGCACAGAAAAGCTCTTTCATATGCATAAATCAATTTATGCTAATGGAAACGACTAAATCTTAATTTGATTAACATAAATTAATTAGCTGCAGTGGGAACATGTTAAATGACTGCCCCTATGCCAATGCAGATTTTTTTTGACCGAGCTTGAAGCACAAATTGCTGTCTGACTAACTTTAATAAACAATAGAATTTTAATTTAAATTATTATAGTATAAATATAATAATATAAATTATTATATTATAAATATAATAATATTAATTATTATATAAAATTATAATATTAATTTTATATTTAATATTTAAATATAATTTTATTATTTAAATTAAAATATACTACAAATGATTTATTACAAATAAATCTATTTTTAAAGTAATTACTTATTAATTATTACTAAATAGTTATTTTCTTATTCTTAATAATAGAATAAACTACAAACATCTTCATTTTGTCGTTGGGTAATTATATTAAAAAATTTATTAAATAAAATTTTTTTAAAATAGATAATATGAAAATCAATGATAGTGTGTATACTGTATAATCGCTAGTATATACTAAGTTAGCTCCTATACGATTTTAGTTTAAGATCAGACTACACATTATCGTCTTACATTTTTTTTAAAACAAATAGGTTGCATTATTTTTTTTTTTTTTAATATTTTTAATTAAATAAAAATACTAATTTTTGCTGAGATTAAAAATGAAAGATGTTACTAACTACTCAAGTTTCAATACAAAGATAACAGCTAATTTTGAGATAATTAATTGTCACTTAAAAAACTTATTGCATATCATTAAAGCTGCAAAACTAGTTAGGCTATTATGTAGCTATTGAGATATTGTAGTTCTGTCTTGGGTTCAGGGGCGTACGTACATACGAAACGAGATGTACGATAGGTGCTGCTGAATTGAATGTGAGTGAGAAATTATCTCGATATATTGGCCATTAAAGCTACTTGCAATATAGATTTCTGTGTATCTTTTTGGATTTTAGGTGGAATTTCAGGAAATGTCAGCGCTTGTAAAAGTTGTGTGTGACATTAACATTGGCCCTGAAATTAATGAATGCCGGCTGCAATCTGCAATGCATGACGTTAACTCACAGGAATCAAGAAGAGTAATAAATTGCTTTCAATATAAAAATTTCATTTTACATGAGATAATATATTATTTAAAAGAAAAAAAATACATTTATTTTTAAAAACCTTCAACTTTAAAAATTTAATAAAATTAACTTGAAATGATTCTCGGAAAATCACTTGGGAAAGTATTTAGTGGTTTTGCAAGGACAAAATTTATATAAAAAGTTAATCCTTTCAACTTGAATGACTAAACACACTTAATATTTTAATAAATATATATTTTTTAATTTCCAATTTATATCTCAGCCTACATCAATTAGCATGGAATTTAATTAAAAAAATTGTTTGCGAAAATAAATTCGAGTTTTTAGTTGATTTTCTTTTTTTTGTTAACCCTAAAAATTCTTTAATTTAATTTAATCTTTTAATTTAATTTTTATTTTAAATCGTGTTTATTTTGCGCTTTAGTGCCTAGAATTATTTCATATTTATTTTTGATCTGCGGTGAAGATGAGCGAATAAATACTTGCATAATTAATGAATTTGATTAAGAAATTTTATGGGTCAGATGTGATTTTTTCTTATTGTATATTTTTCTTTTTAAATTTGAATTTGATTTTTATTCTGCATTATTAAATTTATATTCTTTATAGTCTCTATTCTGTTTTAAATTATTATCAATTTTTATTAGATTTATTTACAATATTTCACTTGAAAATAAATAAATTATTTAATCAGCAAACAAAAATTAGGGTCAACATCAGAGTATTAGCATTAATCTTAGTATAAATAATTATTGTATAAATAATAGTCTTAGTAGTTGTTGTTTTATTGACAGGGTTTCTAAAAATATTAATAATTATATGAAATGCAAAAACATAGTATTTAAAATATGTACTTATAAAAATGATTATTACTACTAGTGGTTAGGGTTAGTTGTAGCACCGAAGACCTACTATAGTCGCAGAGCAGTGTTTCGTTAAATGTGGTTTTCTCTATTAATATGTTATTTTCCTTTATTCTATACTATTCTACTATATAGTATATAAGCAAAAACATAATATGTTAAATATGTACTTATAAAACTGATGTAAATTATTATAACTACTAGTGGATAGGTTTAGTTGTAGCACCGAAGACCTACTATAGTTGTTGTTGTTGTTGTAACCTGTCGGGACCTGCTTGTGGAGTCCCTTTGGGAGGTGTTGAATGGTACTTGATCGTTGTAGGTAATGAGTGGCTCCGGAACGTAGACCCGACCGTTCGTGGAACCGGTACTACTACCTACTATAGTCGCAGAGCACTGTTTCATTAAGTGTTGTTTTCTCTATTTATATTTTAATTTCTTTTATTCTATACTATTCTACTATATAGTATATAAACAGAAACATAATATTTTAAATATGTACTTGTAAAAATTATATAAATTATTATAACTACTAGTGTTTAGGGTTAGTTGTAGCACCGAAGTTCTACTCTAGTCGCAGAGCTCTGTTTCCTTAAAAGTTGTTTTCTCTATTAATATTTTATTTTCTATTTTTCTATACCATTCTACTATCATCGAAAATTGTATTGTACAAATTTGCATATATCGATAACCCATATAAGTGGTTATGGAGCCATAACAGTTAATTTAAGGTTTGGACACAAAAATAGACATATTCAAATCTATTGTAACTATTATAGAATAAACTTACTATATATACAGATTTGTAAGACTATTTTAATCAAAAATTTGTTTAATGTTCTAAATGATAATCAGTATTCTATCTATTTAATTTATAGATTATAATGAAAATTTTTCACGTGTCAAGTACTCATGTTTGTGAATTTTTATACATCAAATCTTTTTTTTAGTAGTAATATTTTTTTATATTCGGCTATAGGTCACTTTTTGTTAAAATTAAATGTTTGTTTAATATTTTTTAATATATGTATTCTATATTTTGATTCTATCTGAAAGTCATCATCAGTATCAGGATCTAACATAAATTAATATTAATAAAATCTATATCTAAACGTCATGGTCTTGATTTCGACCTATAGCCGTATATAAAAAAAGCATATATATATATATATATATTTAATAAATATTCCTTTGAAACTATTTGAGGTGCTATATTATCTATTTCATATGTATACATATGTATTACATATATTTATATTAATTTATAAATTTATTGTTTTATAAGTAATAATTAATTCAATTTTATTAATTTTAGAAAAACCTGTTACTGATATATGTCTTGGTTGCATATGTGAAGCTATTAGTGGCTGCAATCAAACCGCTATTTGTAGTGGAGGCGTGTGTGGACTTTTCCGTATTACATGGGCGTATTGGGCCGATGGTGGCAAATTGACTATAAATAATGAAGATCCACAATCTGAATCGGGTAAGTAGCTCTACATAGCTATCGAATCAAACTGGTTTAATATAATATTTTCTCTTTGTGGCTTCAAAGCTTATCCAAATTGTGTAAATGATGCTTACTGTGCAGCGAATACAATCCAAAACTATATGTCGAAATTCGGTCAAGATTGCAACAATGACAATGTGGTCGACTGCTATGATTATGCGGCAGTTCATAAATTGGGTGGCTACGGATGCAAGGGTGAATTAGGTTATCAATATTATTCAACTCTGCAAAATTGCCTAAATTCATTTCAAAATTTAGATGTAAGAACTGCCAAATAAGTTTTATTCTTTATATATATATATATATATATTGTATGTATAAGCTTTCAAATTCTGATATTAATTTGTATTGTGCAGAGAATATTATAATGTAAACAACTTAAAATTAAACACTCCAGCCATTGTAATTATATTTCTATATACATATGCTTAATAAAAAATAAACGATTTCGATATAATAAGATATAGAATAATGTACACAAAATTATTTATTTATATTGAACGTTAGTATAAGGTTAAATATTATAATTTACATTTAAGGACTGAAATGGGTGAAGAGCAATCCATTCACATTAAAAGGCATCTTTCTGATTGAAAAATTTGTCTCTTAAGTGTAAACTTAAGCTTTAAAAAACTTGCGTTTTTTAATAGTTTTAATGCAAATATTTTTCAATTATATAGAATGTATATATTATACATTACATATATAAATATAGTTCAAAATCAATAATTAATTTTTTATATATACATCATAATATTATATATAAAAATAATTGAAATTACTAGTAAAGTAAAAAAACCTATACGAGTGTTACAGCCGTTGCACTTCTTAAGGGCCAAAATCACTAGGGACAGCCACCCATCCCTAATGATTTAGTATTCTATGTAAAAGTGTTTTTGTGATAGGCGTCTTCAACTGAAAGATTTTTGAGACTTCCGATATTACTTTATATTAGAAAATTTCAAACTTAATTAGTTATTAGATATCCACTGCCTTAGTGATATAGTATTTTAGGTGAAAGGGTTTCTTGGATAAACGTTTTCCCGTTTAATAAACTTATTAGAATTCATTTTCATTGAAAAGTTTATGCGACTTCCGATATCAGTTTAATTTAGATAGAGTAAAAACTTGATTTGTAACAGTCCGTTTCACTCTTGTAATTAGATATCCATTCACCTCTGGACTAAATGTCTTTTAGGTAAAAGAGTTTCTTGATAGATGTTTTCCTAAATCAAGAGTAGTCAGAAGTTATTTTCATTGAAAAGTTTTTGTAACTTTCGATATTAGTTAAAGATCGCTGCGTTTTTCAGGAATTCTTGTTATTATATATCCACCTACCTATTGACTTAATAAATGGGTTTGTATTGATTTAATTGATTGATATTATTGATTTAATATTCTATCTAAAAGAGTTGCTCTGATATATATTCACCTGTTTCATAAGCTGTCAGAATTTAGTTTTTTTTTATATGTTGATGACTCTTCGAATAAGAACTGAATCTACAACAAATCGCTATGGTTTCCAAGAGCACTTGTTATGAGATATCTAACAACCTCTAGTGATTTAGTATTTAAGGTGAAAGGGTTTCGCAGATACGTGTAGTCCTAATTCAAGCGCTGTCAGATTTTATTTTTTTATAGGTTTATGAGACTTCCGATATAAGATTCGAATAGTTCTTCGTAGTCCCTCGAAAAGATTTTTTCAAGAATTATACGTAGGTTCATTGTTAACTTGGCGAAATAACTGGAGAGCTTGATAGATTTTTTCTTAAATGATGTATAAATATAATGTGTGTATATAGTAGATTAGGTCCCATTTACATTTAAATTAAAACAATTTAAAATAATTTTAGTTTTGGAAAATTTTATTATTCAAAAATATGTGTAAATTAGTTTATTTTTTATCATTCAAAACAGTGTGCGGTAATAAACAAATTCTTCATCCATTATATTGCTTTTCAAATTTCGAATGGAATAAAATGATTCCATAAATGTTTTTTTTTTTGAAAAACCGTTATTAATTATTTGGAAGGACTTTGAATTCACATCAGCCAAAGCGTTAGTCATTAACTCAAGTACAAGTGAAGGTTCATTTTTCTATAATTTCAGGCTTTCATTTGTCACAGATGTTTGACCTTAAAACACTCCAAGAAATATTACTAAAATAAACATGCATGATAATATTATTGCATTATTAAGGGCATCGATTTCTCCAGGTGTTTCAGTAAATTGTTCTTCATCAGTAAAATTATACGAAATACAATGTTCCAAACTTGAAATTTGATCAGAAGATTCCATTTCACTAGTTGATTGTTCACTTCCGGTCCAGAACGTGTGAAGTGCCGTATCACTATCAGACCTTCCCAATCTTTCTATATTGATTTGTACACTATTTGAGTAATTTAGAATCAATCTTCTATTATCGACATAGACATTTGAATGTGTGAGTTGATTAAAATCATTTGACATGTTTGTACATGTCTGAGTTTGCTCTGAGTTTTGTTTCTTTGACATAATCAACTGTTTGAAGTCAACGCTACGCTTTGATGATGTGGTGGTTTTAACTGATATTTTATCAAAATTTCTCTCTGACCTTAATGGTTCATTACCAGTGGTCAAAATATCAGAAGACATCGTTTCGTCAAAACAGCTCATTCTGTTGTCTTTATGATCCCGAGAATAGATTAATATTAGTTCTTTCTTAACACCATCATTTTCTGAAATGGTAGATTCTTCGTTTGAAATTTGACAGTAATTATCTTGATACTCGTTAGTTATGAGTTTGTCTTTGATGGCCATTAGACTGAATTCATTTTTATTTTCAATGATATTGCAAATCATATTTTCAACTCTTGATAATTTTGATATTAAATCGTTGAAATGTTGATTGCAAATATTTGAAGAAGTTTGTTTATTTGACAGTTGTTTATAATTCAATGGCTCTGAATTTGACTTTTCTACCGTGAAAATCAATTGCTTCTTGTTACTCTTCCTGGTGTTCAGTTTTCTATAGGTCAAAAGTCCATTTTTTGTGGAAGTTGAACCCAATTTATTATTATTTAAAGTAAGTATTTTGTTCAAAATTTGGCACGCTCTTCCGATTTGAGGTATGCTTTTATATTTTGAGATTTTCGAAAGAAACTGCTTCAAATTAATATATTTTGTTTTACTTCTTTCCGAAATTAAAGGTGTACCAATTGAATCAATCGGTAAAAGTTCAATTCTATCAATAAAAAAATATTTAAGGAATTATTTATAATAAGCATATAATATATAATATAAAACTTACGGTATTCGAATGAGAGAGCATTTTGGTAACGGTATTGCAATCAAAGAGTAATCTGGTAATATTTGCCATCTTAAAATTGTTAAGGAATTAAAATATGGTCTCATTATATTCCAAACCTTGTTTTCCATACGTAACGTAATCACAAACTTCAACACCTCTTCTTTGAGATATATTTGAACTATATATGTAGTAGTTGAAATATAAATGGAAAATTTTGAGTTAATTCCCAAGTGAGGTTCCCGTGCGTCAGTTTCATCGATCAAATCGTTATTTAAAATTTCCCTACTCGTTAAAATTTCCATTATTTTCCTAATGATATTTCTAAGGGAACTTTTAAATCTCGAATATTGACTTTCATTTTGAGGTGGAAAACTTTTCTTTTTAAAGTACTTATATACACTTTTATTAAAGGCAAAAGTTTTATCTTTTATAAAACTCATTTCATTTTGAATTGAAGTGTTGCTAGATATTATTAATTCAGATGGTTTTATAAATTTGAGATCATGTTTCTGAACTGAATTGCAATCTTTTTCAATACTGCCTCCTTTATGGAAAATATCAATATGTGTACCGTTGCACGTAAAGACGGATTCTTGGTATACGCAATTTTTTGGGTGTATTTTTAATTGCTGGGTCGTATATAATTCCATATCAGTTAACGATGACCAGAATTTTTATATTACACTGGCAATACAGTACACAAGTTTTATTTAATTTAATTTAGAGTAGTTGTGAGTTTACTTATTTAATTATTTTTAGGTGGTGAATAAAAAATAAAAGCTTATATACAATTTTTATTATTGCTTTTATTATTATATATAAATGCACTCCACTATTCTGTGAACTTCACAAATTTGTCAAGTATTGAGAATTAAACAAGATTCTTTTATCAAACAAAAAATCTTGGCAAATTCAAAGCTTAAATACCTAGTGCTTTTCACCATACTTGAAAATATTATTATACTTTTCATACTATACATAAATATCGCTTAGCTAACCTAAAACCCCCCATCGCCTATCTACATCTGTAGCTATATATAATAATAAAAGCACATATAATTAATAATTTTTTTTTTATACACATCCACTTTTTACACACTAATTGAAAATTATTTAATTTAAATATTAGAAGGGTTCATATAGAAATGAAAAGACAACAAAGAAAATTAAAAGATTTTACTGTCGCAAAGAGTATCCCTCTGCGGTGAAGAGGTTAGAATATTCCCTCGGTAGGGATGCCTGTCGCTAAGAGGCGACTAAAATTTCGGTGCCACGCCGACACTTATGTAAGAAGTGTGCATGGTAGTAAGTGACACGACATTTGAGACATTTGACCAGAAATGCAGATCTGGTAATACGTGGATTAGTGGGTGCTGAACAGTAGATGTTAGACTCGTAGTGGCTGTGGTTAATACCCAAACTTACACGGTAAGAATGTTCATTTTCGGTGGAATTACTAAGGACATTCCAATGGGGTGTTCATCGGCGCAATATACCAATGCGTGAGTAAAGAACACCGTGATGTTAAGCCTGGATTCTGTCGCAAGGTGTAATCCATTAACTGATTATATAAACATTCGGAAATTGTTTCCTATTTACTATGGGTAAATTAGATCCTGCCCATATTATATTAAATTGTTTTATGCGGAAAGATTATTAGTATTGTTTATTTGCTTGTAATAAGTAAGTTTATTTGACAGGGTCTTTTAAATGCATGTAGCGAAGCCTTCAATCAAATTCGCTTTAAAGTTACAACAAGAAGTACTTAAGGAATGTATGACTTGCCTTTCTACGAGATCTTGTTTGGTAAAAATAATTAATGACACAAAAAAAAAAATGAACAAAAAAATTAAATAAAACAATATTCCTATTATGCTAAGGACAGGAAGCTGATATATAACCAAATAATTCGTTCGTCACTTTTATATGAATGTGTATCGAGAAAGCTAGAAATTGCACAAAGCCAGGCTTTGAGAAGACTTTTCAAGGTACCATGCTACATTAGGACGAATGGCATCCTCAGGGACCACAAGATTGATCCGATCAAAAAATACATAAAAGATAGAGCCCTGATATTATTTGCGAAAACTGATAGACTTCCAGACAAACACCGCGTTATCGAATCTCAGGATAGTTACAGGCTTCTCGGGGGTATGCAGATCGGAGGTCAATTATTGCTTAGTCTGATGAAGTGATAAACATTAATCCAGTCAAGGCGTAAAGAGAGGTTTTGAAGATAACTCGAGTTAATAAAGAGTAAAAGTGCTTAAGTGCACTGGCTTGAATAGCTTCTGCATAAAAAACTATTCCTCTTTTTGTACAATTAAAAAATACTATTAATAATAGGGTTTATTGTATCCTTGATGATATATTTGAGAAACATACAACTCACCAGATTTAAAGCGGAAAGTTTTTTTGAGAAATTTTGTAGTTCCAAAACATGTCCGAAAAAGTTTCCAAAATAAATATTCCTTAAATTCATATAAAGTTAATATAACTAAATAACATTTTTATTGTACATATTTGACGTTTAAAACAAATTTTTTTTTTTGAAATTTTTTACATCAAATCATTGCTTTTCGTTCAATCAATCAGTTATATAGTCAATTCATACAATACTTAGTTCTTATTAGATATTAAGATTTTTTTTAATAAGTAAATAATTGTTTATGTAGTGTTCTTTTTATATTCTTTGAAATTTATACAATAGTTCATACAATTATCTACGTACGGTATAGTTAAGAAAACATTTTACATGATTCTATATGTAGACTCTATACATATATATATGTCTATATATATACTACATATATACGAGTATATACTATATATATATACACTATATATACGAGTACATATTAATATTTTTAAACTAGTTTAGATTCGTTCTACAAATAAATTAAAATACAACAGTAAATAAGTGGATATAGTTTAGTTAATAAGTACAAGTAACTCGCCATATAGGTACATTAAAATTATTATTTTTTCGATATAATTTTAAATATTTAATAATTATTTTTTTTTTTAATTGGCATTGGTTGATTATGAGTCAACATTAAATTAAGAAATTTCAAACGATTTATATAGTCATTTTGTAATTTAAGTCAATAAATTGTAAATAATTAGTTAGTTAATTATAGTTATATAGTGAAGTTTATATTTAGATACAAGTATTTCTCATTAAAATTCAAATTAATAATTAAGATTTGTAGTAGTTAGTATAGAAGAAGTTCTACAGCTTCTGCAACTTAATAAGTTTGTAATTTTTATTAAGATTTATCAAGATTTTTTGTTTTGTAATTTACAACTGTTTCTATTCGTAATTGTTTATTAAGTATTGAGTTATTATTTAACATTAATTAACATTAATTAACAACCTTTTTTATATGCATAACTATTGATCGTTTATATTCTATTATATATGATTGAATGTATACAAATAGATTTATATGTACAGTGTTTGACTTTAAACTATTGAAAAGCATTTACCCAATTTAAATTATATTTGATTTTTATAATAGATAATAATAATAATTAAATATCCATATCATATGTATATACTTCGAAAATGATAAGAAGTCGGTTCTATCATATCATACATTATTCTTTACTGGTAGACACCTTCTTTTATACATTTCAATGATTAATTAGTTTACCATATGTATTCTGTTTAAAAGCTGTTCGGAATTATTTAATAAAATATAAACAACTTATCTATTAATTAATTAGATGGAGCCAATAAGTTATGATATACCAGATGTAAGGCTGCGCTGACCCAATCTCCTACACACTTTTTGTAGACTGATTCAGGTATGGATTTCAACTCCTTTAGAAAATAGGCATTGAAAAAAGTCATATTGACATAAGCTAATGTTAAGGGAGTATGGTCTCCATCATATTCAATGAATTTTTGTTTGCGTTAACTATAAATTATATATAAATTATATATCCTATGCAATTATCAAAAAAATCAGATTTACCAGATATTAGCTGTTTATTGTACAAAAAAAATTGTTTTTATGTTTCCAGTTCAATAATTTTTTTAACCCATTTTTATTATAAATTTTATAATTTTATTTAGAATGTGCATGATATTGCCACTGATATTAAAAAAATATCTTTGAAATAAATATAAAAAAATTGCAATACATAAGCCGTGATATAACATAGATAAGTGAATATCGGTTACATTTTTATAAGAGTACTCAGTTATAAATTAGATGATAAATCATACAAATAAAAATAAGCTAAAAATTATATATAATTATAATCATAAAGTATTGAGACTTTCATATGATATATATCCTATATCCTATATATAATGTTGAAACCTTAATTGATTCATTCTGTATCATAATAATTTAGTATTTGAACAACAAACTAAAAAGAATGATCTTCCATGACATGTGATCTGAAGATATGAGGTTGAGCGGTCTATTCCTTTCATCGTTATTCCCTTAAACGTCAAATAATGTTAATTATGACGCACAGATCTACACGTGTTTAGAAAAATATAATAGTGGTTATATTGTCCGTCAGAGTTTTCCTCAGATATAGAATGAAAATATGTTCTTCAAGTAAAGCATGCCTGTCGTTAAAGGCAAGTAAAATCTAGCTGAGAGATTATTCGGAATACACATATAATTTATAAGGGTAGTATGATTGCAATTATAGTATGTACTTTCCTTAAGTATTTAAGTATATTATCAGTAAACGTAGTATGTTTTATATGTTATATATATGTATTAATATATTAGATAATATTTTATGTATTGTCCAAAATATCTAGAAAACAATTTCTAGCATATTTTATATAGGTTGCTCAGACAAAGACAAAGTAAAGCACTGTTTCTATCCCAATGAGAACAAATCCTTCGACAACAATCATTAATGTGATTTTCGGTGCTAAAGATCTGCTAGCATTATTTTTTACGGAAAGAGAGCATTCAACAAATTTACTGTTAGACTGATTTTCAATAAGATTAGAATATTTTATTCCATAATAAGGTAGGGAAGTAGGTTATACTGGCGATGCCAAGGAATTCACTTAGGTTTATAGGTCCATTGTATTACCGTAAAATGAAAAACTCAACCTCTTCTTAGAACTTTTGGCAAAGTTTGTATTGCTATTTAAGGGAAGGTCGTGCGGTTGATCAAGATCCTTAAAAAAGAATGCCCCTAAAGTGGTAAATGGGGCATCACGCATGTGCTGGACAGAAACAAAGCAGGTAGGTGGTACTTTCATCGTCTTTATTCCAACTGTGGCGGGTATGATTGAAAGGGAGACTTAATCTTCTAACATGGTTACCTTAAATGCTGTGATTTGTGAGTAAACCTACTACAATATTGATGTTTTTACGGGGTGGCTCAATAAGAGAGTTAGATTTCCTTTATTCTATATAAACTATTGAAAAATTTAAATGAATTAAAGAGGTATTTTGAACAGTAGTGAATTACAACAGCAAAATTTTTATTATTTAATAAGTAATTGAATTTTTGACTGACCATATTTCTTGTAAATAATTTTTACGAATATAAAAATATCTTTCTATTAGGTATTACAAAAAAAAAACCTCTCTATTAGGTATTACGAATGTAAAATACCCCTTTATTAGGTATTACGAAAATAATATTTCTCTATTAAAACAATAGTTTCTATTAAGAAACATAGCTTCTTTCGTCAGTATTGACTTTAAGAATAAAAATTAAATTAATTAAGGTCTATGGAACTATATAAAATTTAAGATTGAACTTATTGGATATTAAATTTTCATAAATAATCCAAACATGGATTAAAATATTATTTTATTTAATTAAAAATAGCAACAATAAAGCAACTTAATATTCTCTGTGCAAAAGGTGCAAAATTTTAAGTCCTTTTCTAATAAACTCTCGTACTCATAGAGCCTAGGAAAAGGTTTACTAAGTCTTACTAGGAATTATTATTAAAAATTAAGTAATAAAGAATTAAATAAATAATTTTTTAAAATATTTTGGCACTCCATGGTTTATAATCAGTCATTTTTTGTGGTGCTTAAATGTGTCAAAAATATTTGTTCTTTAAAATTGTTGCGCTAAAAAACAACTTTTTGCAATTTGTACAAAAAAAGTGTTAAAACCTTGGCTTTTCTTTCATATTGGGATGTCAAAAGTGCAGATAAGGTGTGATTAAAATATAAAAACTTTATATAGAAGATATTAAAGAGTTATAAGATAAGTTTTTAATACAGTGGCAATAAAGTTTTAAAAAATTAAAAATTTTTTTCAAAAATATTTTGATAATATATTGCTTTAAAGATTGGCATTTTTGAGAATATTATTATTAAGTAAATCGTTTTTTATTTCTATTTTATATATTTTTAAATATTAACTAAAAATTGAATATATTTTATTTATTTACATTTTAATATGCAACACAAATTCTGTATAAAGAAAAATAAGATTAGTTAGATAACAATATAAAAAAGAACGTTCTTCTACAATGTTTTAATAATAATTAAAATTATTTATATTTAAATTAATTAAGTATATTAAATTTTTTTTATTTTTTGTTATTGCCATCGTTTGCTAATAGTAATTCTTTCGCTTCTTTCTTGCCCTTTTTCTTTTCTTCCTTAGCTATAATTTTAGCAAGACGTTCTTCCTCCTTTGCAAGACGCTTCTCTTCCTATCAAAAGAGAAAAAAAAATTTATATATATATATATATATTAAAATTTACATCCAAACTATATAAAAGAAAACTCTTTGGATTATTTATCATAAATATCAATACATTACAAATATATATTTTACATATAAATATTTTGAAAAGTTAAGAAAACCCCAAGCAAACTTCAGTTAAACTTCAAGAAAAGAAAAACTTAACAAAAATCAAAGAAAACTTCTCAATAAAGTTTTTTCTTGAAAAGTTTCACACATGCGACATGCAAGACAAAGTTATTTTCCTTTGAGATTCGCTATAATTCAAGTCATTAACCCACTAAAGACATATAAGTCTATTTTTGACATATGCGAAACTAAAATTAGATATTACAATATACATAATACATAAATTATATATATTTAAATATGCACAAAAATATAAAATCAAAATGGATGCAAAAAGAAACAAACAAGGACAAGCAAATCAAAAACATCCATGAATGAAGCCAATTACCGACATCACTTTCCAGGCAGCCAAACCGCCATAGAAGCATAATAACCCACCACCACCTTCATTAACACCACCACCACCACTTTCACCACAATGACCCACCTTTCTTGCTTCCTTTTCTGCTTTCAATTTAAGCTTTTCTTCCTTCTTCTTACGCTCAACCGTTTCATTCTTTTTATTGTCAGCTTTTTCCTCTGAAATTATTATCAGAAAAAAGAAGAGAATAAGACTTTAAACTATAAATGTTGATACACTGCAAAAAAATTATATGATTTGGTTTTTTTATTTACGATTAGAAAAACTATTTGGTATTATTGTTAG